AAACTGTTCAATTTATGCTTTTAAAAATTCATGTGAAGGATGTTTTAAGGAGGTGATCCTTTAGATTAAAGTTAGACTGTAGCATCCAAAGCAAGACATGTAAGGGTAAACTAAAAATTTTGGTCCCTGAAAATACCATCAATATTCTAGATGTATGTAATTCTGCAAAGCATCCTGATATTTTAGGATGTTTTTCTTGTCAATACTCTGCAGATATTTTGTTTCTTCCAACTGAGCAAATATTACAGAAAAAAAAAATGGACATTGTTGAACACTGATACTTTAGCCAGGCAGATACTTCAGTGAGTTACATAAAGCGATTCAGTTAAAGATTAGAACCTGGGAGTAGGCCTACAGCTTTATCCTTGATCAGCTCTGGGATGATGCTGAGGATATTTAGCTAAGCCAAAAGTCAAGCTCAGCCATATTGCGGTGTGAAGTAATCATGCTTCCCAGGTATCATCCAGAGAAAGAAGGGGAAAGTTGAGATGCAGTAAACAGTGAAGCAAACAAGCACTGTGTTTAACACAGCCTGAGTCCTTGTGCTCATAGTTTGTACACCAAAATTTAAAGCTGGAAAGATTCATGAGGGATGTTTGTAGTTCCACTTCCTTAAAGTGCAGGTTGATGTTTTCCATAGTTTAGTGCATGAATTAAGAATAAATTTGTGAAATGGAGATTATTTTTGTCATTGAAAAACAAATGATATAATATAAATAATAATAAACAAATTTTTAAGATTATAAAATGTATGAAGCAAAGATGGAAGAGGTGGAAAGTATGCATGTAAGTTGATCAGAATAATTTTATACTTAAGCATCTTATTTATCTCATTTCATTTTTATAACATCTTGTATTGCATTTCACAATTCAGTGAAAGCTACAGTAATTTTCTCTATTACATAGGAGACAAGGAAAACAGACATTGTAAGGAATGATAAGACACTAATTATACCACAAGTGAACAAAATTAATGTTCTTTGTGCTTTATTTCATTCAATAAAAATTGTACCACACTGCATATGGCTGTTACACTAAAATGACAGAGAAAACTTGTGTGCTAAGATGTGTAGATATTTTATTCCACTCCACGTATTTACACCTATACCTAAGACAACTTAGAGAACATTAAAATGTATAATTTAATTGTATTTCTGTGTTTGGTGCTATGGATTGAGTCTCCGACTTTGGGCACTCTAAATACGTAGTATTCTACCTTGGTAAACTCCCAGAAGAACCAATTGCTTTATACAGCTATTATGTAAATTCTTTAATTTTTAATTGTCTTCTCATAAATAAATAAAATTACTGCTAATTCTTTTTTATATGGATGCTTATTCACTGAATAAAGTGAAACATCCTATTAATCAACATTGTAAGATGTTTTCTGAAAGCACCTATAAACAAAATGGTTAATTTCATAAATTTTAGTTGACAAGATTTACGTATGCCTGAATATTTTTTCTGTTTAAATTGAGAAAGTTGTCACCAATCAGAGATAGCAGATGTTCCCAAATAAGAGCATGTATGTTTTCATATATGTGTTCACATGTGCATTGCTATGCATGTACACAGACATGTACACATGTGTATGGAATTCCAGAAATGCATGTGTGCACATGTATCTGGAAGCCAAGGGACAGCCTACCTATAATAAACCTAACAACCTTTAAATATATATGGAATGGGTAACGACAACACATAATTTCAAAAGAATAACAGTCATATAATGCTCCAGAATTAAAATGGCATGACTGTGAAATCTTTCAAGGTAGGCTAATTAGCTATCTAAGAGACTCCAGGCATCTACCTGTCTCCACCTTCCAGCTTGACATTGTTAGAATTGTAAGCACACTCACCATGTTCACATTTTTAAATGAATTTTGTAGATGAAGCTCAGATATTGAAGCTTGTGATGCACTTGACAAATTGAACCAACTCCCAACCTCTAACATGAGATTCTTAGATTTCTAAATATGTGGGCCTAAATTAGAAACATTTATCAATCACACAGATAAGAACTACAGTCTCTGTGCATTGAGCTCATTACAGAATTTATGCACCAGGTGTTTTGTGCAAAAAAAAAAAAACAACTTGGCTACTCAATATAAGCAAAACTAGCTTCTGACTTAGAGTAATTATGAAGATGTCAGTGGGACCAAACACATCACATGCACAGATCAATATAAACTATAATACATTGACCAAGCTCTACATATTATCTGATAAACTTTCTCCACCAAGACCACATCTTCTAAACCAACCCAAACAGCTCTACCAATCTGGAACCAAATATTCAAATGGCCAAGGCTTTGGAGAACACAGAACTACTTAAGACAGTAAATTGTTAATTTGTATTTGCTGTAACAACTGTAGCAGTAAGTGTAGGATAACTAAATTCCTATTTGGCACAGTAAGAAAATACTGTAGGAGCTGAAAAATGATTCCTGATCTTAGGCATTTCCTCGAGAAACTGTTTTTCATCTTATGCACCTATAGAGTACAAGCCTTTGTTTTGTTTTCCTGACACATGCATGAACACAGACTTGATTCTTTATTCCTTTCTCCCATACACTTCAATATAGCAAGTCACTCTAACACTTTCTGTATCTTTACCAAATCCTAATCACCTACTGAGTGTTTACATCTTCTCTCCTTTGAGCAGCGTACCCCTTCTTATGGTAACCACTCCTCAAAGCTCCTTGAAATGAAATCCAGCCATGCTGTCCAGGCTACTCTGTCTTTTGGAAGATTCTGGAAGGCAAAAAATGCTTACTTAAGAGTGTTGTCTTATTTGAATGCTCCAATACATGGCTTTCAAAGCAATTGTTGTTCTGTTGGTTCTTTAGTAATCCCCTTAATAATGGATCTCTTATCACATATAGACTCCACTCCTTATTATTATATGCAAATTATCCAGGTACTAAATCGCTTTTGGTATTGTGCCACTCTGTCTTTTCTGTGATAATAGCTAACAGCATAGCTTTTCTATAGCTATTTCCTAGGGTTTCTACTGCTAATGAAACTACATAAAATAGGTTCTTTCCCTCTTGTCTGTGATTGCAAGTCTTTCCCTGGATTATTTCTACACAGACTTCTAGGGCCATCCAATCATCAGGTCTGGGAGATTTTCTTCTTCAGGCATTAGATTTTATACAGGTATTTTTCCTTGACACTATTCCAAGGCCTTTTCTGATCATCCATCAGATGGTGAGATTACCTAGAGATAATTGTCTCTGCACATCCATCAGTGGTGAGCATTATATTCCATTTTATACAGTTACCTCTAGCATGGTGTTTAGTGTGTAGTAGACACATGTCAGTTATGCATTGAACACAGTCTGCATCAATGGTAACTCATAAAATACAAGCTAATGAGGCTAAGTTGCAATTTTCTCTTTGAGTTTGGCATATGTTCAGTTGGAGTGCCAAGAAAAAGAATATTGTGACAAAATATTTTCCTATTTAGAAAAGGATTTGCAATAGGAAGAACAAAATAAGATTATTTCAATGCTCCTTAACTTTTAAGCGCACTGTAACTGCTTTTGTATTTTTGGAAGTGTTCCTATAGAAAGAGCTGTTACATTGAAATTATTAGACTTACATAATGAATCAGAAGTTAAGGTATCAAAAGCAAATTAACAGCATGGTTCAGACCTTGCAACAATAATAACAACTTGTAGCAAGATCAGTTACTAAAAGATATTGGCCTGTTAAGCTTATACATCTCATTTGTAATGGCAAACTGGATTTGATCTCTCAGTGCAATGATGGGAATCACATGAATTTCTCAAAATAATAACCTGATATATAGATGCACATATTCACTAATTTCTCATGATTAAAATAATTACTCATTTGTGGCATGGAAATGTTCAGTGGGTCAAATGGGAAAATATTATTTGCCTTGACCCATATTTTAGTAACTTCTATGGGGTTCATAGGGTCCAAAATACTTGGGAAAGATACTGCACCTTGTGCCTCCTTATTAGCACAGTAGCTTTCTAATACAGCATTCTATTTCAAGCCGCAAATACAAAGTAGTGATGGTTATGTGACGAATATCATTAAACTGGTCCATAAACCCAGGCATTTTTTTCTTATTTTGAACTTTGGTTTCTTCATATGCTATATAAAGAGAATAATACTGTTCAATATGGACAATTATGGAGATAAAGAAGTTAATGTTGATAGTTATGGAACCAGTGTTGGCTTTTAACCTTTTATAATTCTTGGTTTCCCTCACTGTCAGAGTATTTTCCTAGCATGTTCACGGCTTTAGGAGCTTAACCCAGCACTGTAAAAAATATTTTGTTATTGTGATCAGAATATCTTTATCATTCCACATGTATCTCATTATCTGAATATTTAAGGAAATTTAAGCTCTCTTCTATTATTCATACTCTTGGGTTTTTCTGCTAGCTATTGCAGAGAAGACAATATTATCTGACCAAGGATGTCAGAAAATTTAAAAGTTACAAAGGTATAACTAATTAAGGGTAAATAATTTTGTTGAATCTCCAAAATTTCAGTTACTTTTGTTTGTTTCTTGTACTATTATCTTTTCCTCCTCTCAAGGAAACACAAGGGCTGTGTCTGTTCTGCCTAGAGTTTTAGTAGTTTTTCAGAAATCTCTCTCCATCCTTCACCTTTCCCACTGGTCTCATTGAGGGATTCTTTTACTACTTGAGAGAGTTTTAATATTCAGTAGGTTAAGGAAAACCATGGTCAGCTTTAGAATTTCAGTCTCTGCTGAGCTTTCAAAGTGTCAAGACCCTAAAATAATATGAACAGCAAGAGTATTAAATCTTTCATTATTTCCCGTTTCCCCTTGAGCATACTGACTTTACAATAAAGGAGCTGTCATTTACACTCTTCTTTATTGCAAGGTGGGTAATAGCTACAGGGTGAAAAATAAGTAACTGTGTCAAGTTAGCCTAACTGCCATTATGACTCATGTGTAATCATTGCACATTTGCATCTACCCCTTTCACATACAGGTACTTCATAGATTGGAAGAGTGATGGGGACAGCTACTTTACAATAGACGGAACTGAAGGAACCATCGCCACGAATGAATTACTAGACAGAGAGAGCACTGCACAGTATAATTTCTCCATAATTGCAAGTAAAGTTAGTAAGTACGGCATGGGCAGAATCAATGTTATACTGCAATTCTGTGGATTTAACACTCTTAAACGAGTCCCTGCTGGGGTGTTTTTTATTTTAGGACTGACAGCTGAGTAGTCTCCCGGGGAAACTCAGAAACCTGTTCCTATTTCTCATAGCATAAGTCCAGAGAAATTGTGACAGCTGCCAGAGAGCCATGTTTGCAAGATTGCATGCATACCTAGAAGTGATTTTCATTGTGCAGCCTCACCCCTTTTTATTAAATAGTTTCCAGAATTTGCAGAAGTGTCAACTTCTCTTCCACAGATATTCCTTCTATCTATATTATTCAGAGTTATATAAGTTAGGAAAGAAGAAAAAAAGGCATATGAAATCACCTATTATGAAATATTTTCTGAATTTTGTGGAAACCTTTTTAAAATTGTCATTTTACCTTTTCCTCCTATTTCATGAGAACATATACTAAGAAGAGTGTGGATTATATTAAATTTTTAAGTGGATATTTTGAGTACATTGCTTAGAATGTATATGTTGTTTTGGAATTCCTTATGCTTGCTTGTGGCATAAAAGAGAATTTTCTAGACTTTGAGTGAAAGTAGAACTTATTTGTCACTCAAAGATGTGACACATCTATCTCAGTTACAAAGTGAGAATATTTAATATTTAGCTATTTGCATGAGTATATTTATGAGAAACACCTGGTCTCCTCCCTTTTCTTGTGGTCTTTTGAGAGTTTTGAGAAATCCCTTTGGGACATCTTTTACTTAATTTTTGTTTTCCTTGAATTACTTTGAGCATCTGGCAGAAATTTATTACACTTTAGATATTAATTTCACATTTCAAATTTAAAAAAGAACTACAAACATTTATTCTGTTCAGGGGTGTTTCTCAGTTTCAACTCAGTGTGGGTGTAACTATGGAAGAGTTCTGTTTATGTTTTTAAATGTGTTAGCATCTGTGCAGGAGTGTGTGCATCTGTGTGTATACATGTGAGTGGCAGAATATGTTTACATGTGTTCAAATGTTTCAGGAAGTCAGAGGGCTGTCTCAGATGTCACAATTTTGGGAGATGTCCCTATGGATGTTTTACATAAGATTTGATGGGAAGCTAGGGTGTACTAATTAGACTAGGTTAGCTCAACTTCAAGCCCCAGACAGGTGAACTACCACACTCTCCTTAGGATGTGGCTGCTTAAGATCAAATGCAAATCTCATTTTCTGCAAAAAGAATTTTATTATCTTAATCTTAACTCTTCCTTAGTCATCAGTTTTGTTTATCTTTAACAATTTCTTCAAGAAAAATGTACTAGCAATTCAATTCTCCAGATCACAATTACACATCAGCCAATTTTATTATTTTGAGTTTTCCCTAATTCTTGATTGTAAATTGTGATAATAATGATTGCCAGTTAGATAGGATCCATTATTACCCAAAAAGTAAATATCAACTCATGCCTATAAGGGATTATGTAAATCATAATAAATTCTTGAAATATCTGAGTCTGTGACTGGTTATCAAAATGATCTAGTATGTTGAGTTTGGAAGATTCACTCTCAAATTGGGCAGCAGCACCTCACGGGGTTGAATGCTATATTAAAAGGAGAAATCTACCTGAGCATGAACATGCTTTTAATCTCAGATTCCTGACTATTGATACCGTGTGAGCTGCTTCCTCAAGCTCCTGCTGCGGTGACTGCTATTCATGATAGCGTGTAGTCTTGAAATGTGAGCCAGAATAATCCCTTCTTTCCTAAAGCTGTATTGTAAGGGTGTTTTATCAAGGCTGTAGAAAAGTAACAGAAACAAGAAACTGATGTCTAGAAGTGGAACCACTGCTGCAGTAAATCTAAACATGTGGTTCTTAGCTCTTTGGACCTCATTTGCACGAAGACTGATGGAGCATTTGGATTGAGGGCAAAATGCTTTAATGCTGAGTTTAATGGGCAAAAAGTGGTGGGATTTGAAGACAAATGCAAAAGAAGCACAAACATTAGAGACCCAGCTCATGAGGCTTCAGAGTGTAACAAAGACTCTATCAGGAAGTAGGCTATCGTATAGTCATGTGATATCCTGGTGGAGATTATCATTATAGTCTGTTTCTATCCCAAGAGAACTTTGTTGTGAACTCAAGACTGACTATCCGAGGCTCCATGTAATGAAAATGCAAATTTAAGTGAAAAGATAAAGTCTGAACTGAGAATGCCACAGAGCAGAGCATATTTTATGCTCAAAAACAATTGCTTTCATAACTTTCCTGATCAAACCACTCCATCATAGAGAAGTCACTCTAATTTCAGTCAATGGGGCTACTTCTCAGATCATATCAGTCATGTTTGTCTATGAGGTGTCCAATGGATGAAGTCTGTTCATTCTGTAAAAAAGTAAAGTATCACTGAAATGCCTCACCCATTGCTCTTTTGGGGGACATTTTTACCTGTAAGCATAGGATTATGCTTTAACACTTGATACATTAAAAAAAAATGTTATTTCTAGAGATATTTTATGTTGTCTTACTGACTCCTTTACATTTGATACTATTAGTTTTTATACCCTCCAAAATCAAATTTTAAGTTTCAAATATGTAATTAAGATTCAAAATGAAATAAATATATACTTTTATTAGCTGTGAAGAGGACCGTGTTCAGAAAACTGTTGCTTGTTGTAGATATGAGAAATGTAAGAGTAATTTCTGTTCAAGGACATACCAGTTTAGGGATAGATTTAAAAAATATAGCTGAAGTAAAGATTTAGTAAGCTAAATTGTGAAAATTTGCTGAATTCTAGGTAGTTTGTATTTAGTCAGACAAAGATATAGAGGAATGTGTAAAGGTTATGACTGACCACTGAATGGACAATGGATTATAAAGCATTTAAATAATAGTAAATTCTTTTGACAGAATTTTCTGAAATGTACATTTCTGAATTTATAAATCTGAAGCATAATAATATTCTCTCCTACAACATAAAAATACTATATTAGAATAATAAGCAACAGAATAAAGAACTCTTTAGCTAAGCTATTCTAATAACCATATAACTCATTTTATTCCCTAAAATCATTGTATGGTTTTGCCCACAATGTAGAAGTCATGAGATGGATACTCTGAGGTAGTATGTTGGTAGCCTAGTATCCCACAATTAGTGATAATCAAACCAATCCAGAACAACAGAGTTCTCAAGGAAAAGCACATCCAGTGAACTAGATATCAATGTTTTATAGAAAAAGATAAGATATTTCTTCGTACATGGAGAAATCATATCTTTTTATGGTGTTTTCTTCTTACTAGTATTCCTCAATACCATAGCTGTGTCGTACTCAGGGGTATTTTCTATTTGTTTACTTTTGGGAGGAGTGTGTCACACCTCTGTGTAGAAGTCAGAAGACAGCTTTTAGAAGTTGCTTCCTTCCTTGTCCCAAAGTGCCCTTGGGTTGAAACTTGGGTCATTAGTATTGGCAGCAAGCAACTTTACCCACCAAGTAACCTTATCTTCACTTTTCAGGGACATTATTATAAAATTAGATGTCTGTATGTACTGAAGGCAATCTGAAAATGTTTCTAGAAATATTTTCGAGATACACAGACCTTAAGTAACTTCTTGGATTATCCTAATGGAAAATATTTTTAACCACAGTCCCAGATGCCCTAGTATACTATTATGAGCATAAATTTGGGAAAACAAAAAAATAAGTAGAATAAATCACCACAGCTATCTATATTGATTCAAATTTTACTGGGTATTGAGGTCTACATGCCGTCATTACTTTAAATGTTAAATTAGTATCATTTTGTCTTATATGTTTATATTTATATTTGATTTTATATTACCTTATCTATCATTTTCTAATTTTCTTTTCTGCAAGTAGCTATGTAGAATCTCTTTTGAATTCTCACCTTGTAGCAGCAAACCACAGATGAGTAATTACCAAGATGTCATTGACCTTTTGGCATGTAAGAGGGGAGATGTTATTTGATAATTGATGTAGGAGGACCTTGTCCACTGATCATCCCTTGGCCTTTGATCCTGGGTTAGATAATAAAGAAAACTGAGCAAAGCAGTAAGAAACATCCTTCCATGGTCTCTGCTGTAGGTCTTCCTTTTAGGTTCTTCCCCTGACTTCTCTCTGTGACAGACTGCTTCCAAAATGGCTGACAGCAAACCCTTTTCCCCTTCAAGTTGTTGTAGGTCATGATGTTCATCACCATAACCAAAAGCAAAGGAGAAAAGCTCATATGTTGCTTTTGGCCAACATGACATTTTTATGATATCACAGCAATAAAAGGGAAACTAGAATATAAATAATTGAGAGTAGGCAACAAATAACCAAGTCTTTAAAACATCCATTGATAAATTTCAGTAAATCATTATAATGTATGATTCTATGACTTTATCTTTAATATAGTCAAAAAGACTTAGAAACAATGAACCTCATTGCTAAAGTCATTCATATGTGGGATCTGAAAAAAATGAACTCATAAATTTGGGAAGATAATGGAGAGTTCCTGGGGCTGGTAGTAGTATTGGAGGGAAGAGGTTCATGGAAAAAAGGAGGAGGAATTGTATCAATGGAGACAGGCACCTCAATGGGTAAAAGTTCATTATTGGAGAGGTTGATCTGTGTAGCAAGGTTTATGCCATGATGAAATATTAAGCTGTATTTTCATCTCTGAATTTCTTCCACATACTTTCATCTTTATTTTTGTTATTTTAAATAATGTTTTTATTACCTAAATGGCTTCTTTGTATCTTTTACTGATCAACATCCTGTCTGATTATTCTCCCATCTTCCCATTTTTAAGACTATAGCAGCTGCGTATTTTTCACTTTTTATGTCCACACAGCATAATTGATAGCACAAAATATACCAATTTTCTACAACAAAACTCTTTGGCTTATTTATTTATTTATTTATTTATTTATTTATTTATTTATTTATTATTTATACAAATTCCAAAGAATCTTTACCCATCTGTCAGGCAACAAACTGCTTTTTCTGGACTTGAATACTTTAGCTCTGTGTGTATATGTTCAACATGTGCATGCCTGGTGTAGAAGGAGGCCAGAAGATGGGTTCATTCACTCAAAATGGAGTTACAAACAATTGAGAGCGTCAGTGTGGGGCTGGGAATCAAACTCAGGTCATCTGGAGGAGCTGACGGTCCTTGTCATCACTGTTAATTCACTCCAGTGCAAATTTAAACTCTTGTTTGGCCTCTTATAGAAGTCCGGGTTAATGTTGGGCCTTTATTTCATCTATAGATTTTAGAGCTATCCATAAAATCAAGATACTTCTTATAAACTCTATAGAGTGTACTAATATTCTACATATAGAGAACTATTGATTAAGCTAATGTCTTTTCTTCTTGATATTGACAGTGCCATTTAGCATTAAGGAGAATAGTGTGACAACTGTAACTTTATATGAGTTCTAAATTATCTTTTAGTTATAAAATATCATTTCTCCAGGATCTTCAAAGATATTATGATTACATAAGTGATCATAGGCTAGCTTCACAATAAAAATTGTTTAAAAGCTTCCAATACTACATAAATTCTATGTGGTTTTACTATCAAGTATTTTCATCAATATCTTCATGATAAACTAGAGATAAAGAAATTTGTTATATTTGTCACAAATATGGCTAAGATGACTCAGTAAATAGATCATTTCGCTAAACACAGTTTAATAAATTATATCTCTAAATGAAAGGACTCTATATTGTTCTAATAAATTATATACTCTGACAAAATATTTCATATTTATTTTAGAACAGTAGTTGTTAAAGAGATGTCTTTGCTTCTGCAGTGGCACTTAAGAATTAAAAGTGAGCTTTGTATAGTTTTATAATACTATAAAATACATTAAACATAAACAATAGAAGAAAGGGTGCTAAATTAAGTCAATGAACCCATTACTCACTTCAATGTTGTGAAATTGTTGCTATTCTGTTACTTTTTCCTTGATTGAACATCCATTTTCTGATATCTATAATGATGTTTTGTGACATTTAATTTTGGAAAATCTTGATATCCTACAGTGCACAGAATAATTTCACACAGCAAAGATTTGTCTGAGGTAAAATGTGAAAACTAAATATGTCCTGTGGAGAAAGACTATTAACAACAAGATAACATTGATAATTTTGCAAAAATTTAGTTACAGAAATGGGTGTTAATTTACCTTTCAAGCATACACACAGTAGCAATTTACCAATTTGTGGTGAAATTGTGGTGAAAGTAAGTCTTATACATTTAAATAATGATTTTTATAAATTTTGAAAGTAAGTTTTTGAGATGAATGCAGTTAATTGGGGAAATTTGTTTCCTGTCAAACAACTCAGCTTCACGGAAACTTAATAAAGTGTGAATTATATGTTTGGACTTGAACTTCACCTACCAGACAATACAGAAAGCAGAGTCTTAGCCACACATCATTCAGTGAAGAATTGAACTTGTCTGTTACTCTTCATGAATTTTATTAGTACTTAGTTTTATGGACTAGTTCACTACTTTACATAGTTTAATAGTCAAAATGTTGTTAGATAGATAGATAGATAGATAGATAGATAGAGATATAGATAGAGATATACATAATTTAAATTGTTCAAGAAACCTTGATTTAAAACTTTGTCCTTGTACTTCCCATTTGTAAGTTTTAGAGAGGTCTATACTACCAGTCTTCAGAATTTTGTATACAAAGAGAAACTCTTCATAATGCTTATATTGTGTATGCTGTGAGTCTGACATCACTTGGGCAGTGTGTTTTAGATCATCAGTACACACTAAACGTTACAGTGTAAGAAGCCACTCTTTTGTTAAGTATTGTTAATTAATAGTTTCTTTAGAAAATAAAACTCAGTTTTACTTGTTTAATTAATTTTACATATAAATTTACACTATTCACATAACAAATATCAAAGAAGCAGATTTAATGATGTTTATTATGTAGTTTTAGCAATGAGATTAATGATAACTTGCAAAGTTCATTAAACATTTGTATAATACCATTGCATTTATGCAGCAATCCTATGAATCAGAAACTATTAATACAACCTGTTTTATATGAAGAATTTCAATTCAGTAATTGGAAACTAAGGAAAAAAATTGGTTGTCAAAATTCAACTAAGTCTTTTCAAAAAAATAATGCACCTAAATATAATTTCATTGTAATACATATTTCTGAATCATTCTCCAATATTGTCAGTATATCTTCCATTCACAACCTATACAATAAATTACACTTATCTTCATTTTTTTTTACTATTTGTGCTGGTGTGCCTATGTGATTAAGTTTCACTTAGAAATTAATTTTTAAAAATATCATTAAATGCTACATAGCATGTTTTAACTTATGCTTTAATAAATTTTGAGAGCAAGATGTTAGAGTTGTTAGAATCAGTCAGTAGTTAAGACTTCTACTGTGTGTTTCAAAGGTTAGTATTAAGTACTAAGAATCTTCACATTACAGATGTTAAATAATGATTGAGTAAATATGGTGGGATGAGCCTGTTGCTAGGGTTTTGTCAATCTGTATTTGTATTTATCTCTTCATTCTTTTAGCTCTGTTCTCTGGATAAGACCACCAAATATTTGAGGCAGTTTATCCGGCTGTAAAATCTACATTAGAAAAATCATTTTTTAAAGTAGCTTTAAAACATTTTTTGTGCATTGCATTTTCATCCTTGATAAATCATTTCCAGTCTTCTTCTTCAACACATGACAAGAAGCCAAATAATAAAAACATTGGCTGGGGAAAATTTGGACTTCACATTAGACAGTGCTTCCTTGCTCCAAAGATATTGGTGGGGTCATGTAGGAATAAATGAGTCTTTATCAAAAATTTATTTATTATTAGTTCCAGAAATAATTTAAGGATGACTTCTGACCTCCCAAAAACAACCCCTTGATTCTATTTTACTTAAATCTGTACCACTAATTTTTGACAGCGAAGATGAATTTGAGATATTTATTTATATATTATTAATATTCCATTTATTAAAACTTCTGATTATACTGATGCAACACAGAACACTATATTTTGTTTAATAAAGTAAATATCAGCATTGGATAAGGTAAGCTCAGTAAACTAACCCTAAAGAGACGGTTAAATCAGTCTAGGAGAAAAGCCCCGCACTTTTGATAACATCAGTACATAGTTACTCCCACCTGCTGACGTGCCTTCCTCCTGATCTAAAAGCCTCTCTTATTCATCCTGGGTTTTTGTTCGTTTGTTTATTTGTTTGTTTTTTGCAGTTGCTCTCTTGCAATTTCTTCTAATAGAAGACTGTTTCCCATTTTATATCAAAGGTAACTGAGAACAAATCTACCTTTCGGAGAAGCAATGTCCATGTTTAGTAGTATTATCTTTTTATGTTTTCAACAGGTAACCCATTATTAACCAGCAAAGTCAACATACTGATTAATGTCCTAGATGTCAATGAATTTCCTCCAGAAATATCTGTGCCCTATGAGACAGCTGTATGTGAAAATGCCAAACCAGGCCAGGTATGTTGTCAATATTGTCAATGAAGTCTGTATAATGGCCTCCTGTGGGTTTGTCCTTTAAGTTTTAAATCCAGACATGAATACACATGAGCATAATTATTTTCATGCATTAGATATCTTCATAGAAGAAAACATGAACAATGCTAGGCTCATATGAATTAGTGGTGGATGGATGGATGTGAAGGTAATAAAATAGTAGCATAGCAGCCTCAATTTACCATAGGTACAGAATATAACTATGATAGCTAATATAGCTACTGCTTTCTTCTGAGTTTGAAATAGTAAATGATAAAGTACTATTTGGCTACTAATAAATAATGCCATTTTGGTTATTTGAAACATTAGAATAGATAAACTAAAATGTTGTATATTAGGCTGTTTTTAGTTTCCAATGTCCCACTGCATTAAGGTTATTTTACATCTAATAAAAATTTCAAATCAATAAAAGTCTTGTGATTCTTTAAATTATTGCCTTTGTGTATTATTCATTATTAAATTAAATGTGAATTGGTTATACTTTAAAGATTTGAACTTTGGGAAAAGTAAAACTTATTAGATTTCAACTTCCTTTCCTTGTATGCGGGGGAAAATAATGAAGAATCAGCTTGTGTGCCCTGAGGCTCTATTTTAACAAATATCTTTTGTTTTCTACCAGAAAACTCTTATAAAAAGAGATGACTCTGATGTCTCCTTTGAGTATTCAGAATATGTGGTTTCAGTGCACTTTATGAACAAAAACCCATCCATCATGTTCCTTGTCTAAGAACTATACATAAGGATAGTTTATCCTCTATCATTGTCTAATAAGGAGAAATATGTGAATATGTCTATGTATGTGTGTTGTCTCTGTATCTAATTATCTACATATCTATAGATTATTATGTATCATGAATCTTTCTTCCATCTATTTTTCTATCTATCGTTTATCAATGTGAAAAGGAGATTAAAACTGTAGAGATGGTATTATGGATATGATTGAAGTCCTATATTAAAGTTTTTCTTAGGGAAGTATCTTTCCCTCTCCTCTCTCTCTCTCTCTCTCTCTCTCTCTCTCTCTCTCTCTCTCTGTAAAAGAAAATAATACATGTTCAAGATGCCATATGTTCACAGATTACCTTGAACTTATTATGTGGCTGAGAATGTCTTTGAGATTCTGATGTTCTTTTTTTTTTTTTTAGATTTAATATTTTCTTTGTCCAATGTGTCCATTTCTTTTTTTTTTCAATACAATTCAGTTCTACATATCAGCCACGGATTCCCCTGTTCTCCCCGCTCCCACCTCCCTCACCTTCCCCCCAGCCCATCCCCCATTCCCACCTCCTCCAGGGCAAAGCCTCCCCCATGACTGAGATCAACCTGGTAGACTCAGTCCAGGCAGGTCCAGTTCCCTCCTCCCAGGCCGAGCCAAGCGACCCTGCATAGGCCCCAGGTTTCAAACAGCCAACTCATGCAATGAGCACTGGACCCAGGCCCACTACCTGGTTCCACCTTCATAGTATTGTTTGTATGGTCATGTATCACTATGCCCATTTTGTGATGTGCTGAATATCACATCTGGGCCTTTGTGCATGCTAGGCAAGCACTCTTACAAGTAAAATACCTCCATAGATCTTAAATCGGTTTGCTTTAAATGATACTAATTCGTACTGATTGGAAGCAAAATACACCACAAAATTTCACACACACACACACACACACACACACACACACACACACACACACACACACATAGTTGTATAATATGAAGTTATTTAATATACACACATATATGTATTGTTATATGACATATTTATTGTTATAGAATATGTAAGAACTTTAAGAGTAAAATAGGATGATGGTAGGACATTGCTCTAAAGTCTCAATAGAGTAAATTTCATATTTTTGAGAGTAGATGTATTAATCAGGGATCTCTAGAGGAAGAAACCAGAATGCATATATATGTATACGGAGTTTAGTAGAATGGCTTACAGGCTATAATCCAAACTGTGCAACAATGGCTGTCTACCAATGCAAAGTTCAAGACCATAATAGTTGTTCAGTCCACAAAGGTGGGTGTCTCAAATGGACTTCAGTTTATATAGGAATCCTGAGGAAATGGGATCAATGACAGTGAAGGAATGACATTGCCAGTGAGATCAAGGGCAAGAAGACAAAGAGAAAATGCTTCCTTCTTCTACATCTTATATATGCTTCCAGCAGAAGGTGTGGTCCAGATTTAAGGTGGTTCTTTCCTCCTCAAAAGATCCAGATTTAGGGTTGCATTTCCCACCTCAAATAATTTAGTCAAGAATAAGCCTTCAAGGTTTACTTAGTCACTTGTGTTTTAGTTAATTTCATATGTAGTCAAGTTGACAACTAAGTTTAGCCATCACAGTTGATATGGTGACCTGACTATACTGTTAATTTCCACGATCTAGCTGTTCTAAATAGTATATTATAGAAATGAAGCCAATAATAAATCATGGGACAAATAACTATATTTAATGTAGGAATTCATACTGAGTAAAGGGACTAAAATTCTTACTAAACAAATTTATTTCACTTTTTATCATGCCATGACTATTGATACTTAACTTCTCTTCAATACTAGTCTGTTTATCTGTTCATCTATCTATCTGTCTATCTATCTATCTATCTATCTATCTATCTATCTATCTAACATCAATCTATCTGCAAAGTAGTATTTACGTAGGTGTAATCTATCTTTCATATGTATCTATGTATCTGTATCTCTGTAGTAAGGCAGATCGCAGTCATGGGATTGGATTATAGCTAAGAATTATAACAAAAAGTAGTAGATGAATCACATTTCTAAAAGTCTTCTTATATATGTGCATTTTATAGCCTGAGATGAGGGTCTTGTGTGGAACATCTCAGCTTTTACTGCAGAACATTATGGAATTCATATTCATGGCCCTCTCCACAATCTTGGCCCTTTCCCTCACATACTTCCTAATATTTTCTGTCACATAGAGCTTTTAGATATCCTATTTGGTATGCCTTCTAATTTGTGAATCCATTTAGTTAATTGCAATTTTTAAAGTATATACCTCAGAAGTTAATTTTAGTTTAAATTTAGATTTTTAACAATGATATACTACTTCTGGAAGCAACTTGGAAGGCACTTGGAAACAGAGATATGAATGTTTCCTTGTCCAAGTAACATAGAAACACATAATATTTGATCCTAAGCAATGAGAGGTAGAGGTAGCATAACGTTCCAAACAGGCATATATTATTTTATCTGTCTCATCATTTTTATTTTTTAATAAATCAACTCTCACAATGTATTTTCCCTTTAATTTTGCTCTTGCAAGGACACTTAGATAATCAGATGTCCTGTTTCTAGTAGGATTTCACATTTAGTCTAAAAGGCATGCATATAAGTTAATTTAACATGGAAGCAAGTCCCTTTTAATTTTATTTTGTTTCTTAGGGAGAATTTTCAATGCTGGTTTGCTTTTTGATTACACAGATATTGATTGATTTAGAATTAGCCTGTGTCTTCTGATTTTTAGCTGCCGTTATTACCTGCAAATGGTTAGAAAATTACTTACAAAAGGTATGTGTAAGTAATTAGGCCACTGATATTGATTCAAAAGGTGTCATTTCTATCTCTTTGAAATCTTTATTAAATAAAGTTATTAGACTGTTGTGTAGAGTTACCTGTGACATGGATGACTGACTTCAAGTTTCATCTCAACATTGTTTCAGATAATTCAGATAGTAAGTGCTGCAGACCGAGATCTTTCACCTGCTGGGCAACAATTCTCCTTTAGATTATCACCAGAGGCTGCCATCAAACCAAATTTTACAGTTCATGACTTCAGAAGTGAGTATAACCACTTACAGATTTACCTCTTATGTAGCTTTGTCAAAGGGCACACGGGGAGGATTCAACTGCTTTCCCAAAAAGCAGTTTTACAAAGTGTAGAAGTCCATATATAAGAAATACAAACTTTTCAACTAGCAACAAATTAATTACTCCATTTTTGTTATCAGATAATACAGCTTGCTTTCATTATGAAGGGGGCTGAGCTTTTAATGATTTAAGCAAATAAAACTTTTTCTGGTAAATTGAGTGCTTCATTATTTTGAATAAAGCAGTATAACAATATGCACATTTCTTATACATGCAAATTAATTCTATATTTATTTCTTTTATTTGAGCAACAAACAGTTCTGAGGTGATGCATCAGGCAGTTCAATTAGAATTAACAGAATTTTATTCCCACTGCATTATTCCCCAGGGACCACAACTGAGAAAATTATTCTAAGTAATGTAAAACTCAGAGCATCTGTATTGAGATCACATGCAAAACCTTTAATACAATTCCTCAAATGTTTCTGTTAAGATAATTTTAGCTACAACTTCTGAAAACATATCTTTCACTTTACTTCCACAATTATAGTCTGCTATTAACACTTCTATGTCTAATATTACTATAGCTGCTAATATTCCAGTCAGCACAGAAACATTTGTTGGATCAGATTATGGATACTCCTCATTTCATGGTGAGGCTGTTTCATAATATTCTTTTTTAAAGATGGAAAGATCCAACTACAGATGATATATTAAACAGTATCTGGAGCAAATCTCAGTCTAGTCTTCCTTAAGTGTGATCAGAGCATTCCCATTAATTTCCACTGGTTAAAAATCATCTAACAAAAGTTAGAGTGTCTTTAAAATGCATTAGGTGTTCGCTACAAGTAAAAGCAAAGTGCTTGTTTGGCCATACCTTCCTGCCATCACGAATTAAAAAAAAAAGTAAGCTAAGTCATTTCTATGCCAAAATCAATTGTATTAAGGTTTTCAAACTTTACTTCTGTGACTTTGTACATTAATCTACTCTTTGTACATATATAATATCTAAGTATCAGATATCTGATATCATCATATTCAGTTTAGATGGGAAAACTGAAGTTCTAATGGATTTTGTTTTTCAAACAAGTGAAAGGGTATTATATATTGATGATAGTGACAAATAATGAAATGGAAGGATGTCTGGAGAAAACCTCATTTTTTGTGGTAAATAGAGAGAAGAAAGTCTGAATATCCATATTTCTCACTGAACTTGGAAGGATTTGGCTCTATCCTATGGTGTGATATGATGAATAGCTATAAATAAAAATCATACAAAATGTATAATTTTAAAACTAGCATACACATTCTTTTATCATGAAAATAATAACACTTTACAAATATAAGTGGTCAGTATTTAGACAACAATATGTAGAAAATACTGATGTCTAAGGGAATGGAGTCTGTGGTCATTTGAATGAGAATGCCCCCATAAACTCACATGCTTGACTACTTGGTCACCAGTTGCTGGAACTGTTTGGGAATGATTAGGAGACATGGCCTTGCTGGAGGAGGTATGTCTCTGGGGCCCACATTGAGGTATTAAAAACCCATGTCACTTCCTCTTGACTTTCTCTACATTCTGCTGTTGGATCAAGGTGTAAGTTTTCAGCCATCCTTGAATATCTGCTGCCATGCTCTCAACAATCATGGTCATTAATCTTACCCCCTGAAATTATACTTTAACTCTATCTTCTATACATTGTCTTGGGGCTTACTGTCTTGTGATAGCAATAAAAAATAAAACAACTAAAACATAGCCATATTTTCAGCCTATTAACAACTTATTTGAAAAGAAATTAATTACAAAGATCTTAGAAACCTGTGAAAAATTGAAGTGACAGTATAACATGATCAAATTTGTTATTTAGAAAGATCACTATGGCTGTTGTATGGAAAGGTTTTCCACAGCTTCTGTGTATCTTAGACTATGATAATGGTTATGCAGACAAAACTAGCTGTATGGAGGAAAAATTGATATAGGCTTTTCTATAGCTTCTTGGCTTCAGTAAAGAGAAGGATATTGGTGAAATTATTAAGGCCACTCCACATAGTTAAAAGGGGTTTATTTAGTGGTGTAACTTACAAATGAAGGGATAGGTAAGTTGCAGGGATTGGGAAAGGCATAACACAGTCTGGCCGCGTTCTCTGGAGAACTCTGCTCTGTCTACCTCCAGCGTCCAGGGTCCAGGAACCAAGAGAGGCAGCGCATCCGGATCTCCGGTCCTCAGGGTCATCTCTTGGCTCCACCTTGTAGGCATGACAGTTACTGAAGCCTCAATGGGGGTTGGAACTTCCAGATCAAAGCTGGAATGGCTACCCACTACATCTCCCTCTTTTGTCTAAGTAAGAAGGTTCTAACCTAATACAAGACTATATAGAAAATCTTAATCTTGAACAAATATATGAAGATCTTAATCTTGAACAACTAAGTTGACAGTTAAATCACTACACAGCGGCAATGAAAATTTCAACCAATGCGTGTGCACATTTTTTTTTAACATTGGGCGTTTATCTCCTCTAAGTAAACATATTCTGTAAAATACATATTAAATGTCATATATTATGAAATTTGGTGATGTAAAACTAAAGATTTAGTAAATCAAAAAGCAACATTCAACAATAGAAAACACAATTCAAAAATCTCCACATATTTTTATGTTCTCTTTTGTTTATTATAAATTGTACTTGTTAAATATTTTCAGTTTATTGTAAACATTTTAAGGGTCAAAGGGACGCTTCATGTGCCTTTTCTTTCCCATAATGCAATGAACAATAAATACTGTATACCCAGTTATCAGTAAATGGTAAGTTAGGAACAAAGATCTTTCTTGGTTCTTTTTTTCATATCAATTGAGCTGTAAAGTATGACATTTTCCATTTCTCCAAAAGACCTAGGTTTTCTATTTCTCTCCTTCTAATGAGTGTCACTCAATTTATGATCTCTGACTCAACCCCATCAGATCACTCATCAGGTTCTGGATATCTCAATGGTGCTTTAATCAGTCTTTATTGTCCTATGGCTGTCCTCAGTCCCAATATTTGTCTCCACTTAATCTGTTTGTGAACACTATTAATGGTGATGCTACCTTGATATTTTACTCATCATCAAATGTTGTCTCTGAAATAATATGTAAAACTTACCAAGCAAACCATCATCATAGCTCAAAAGATTTTCTCATAAAGGTATTTCCTATGTCAATTAGTATAGAGAAGCTGGCAAGGTAAAAGTTGTAAATTCCATTTAAAATTAGTATAGTGGATTGTGACTAGCATAGTAATATACCTCCAAAAGAAATGTATTTTAATAAGTAGTATATCTTTCTAATTATTTACATGATTTTCAAGGTTATTGTAAGTTTGTACTAAAAATAATATTTTTAAAAAGGAATTGCCTCCATTAAAATATAGAACAAAAAGTATTTGCTGAAATGTCTATAAATAATGCATTTCCAATAATTGTCAATAAAAATATTTGATTTTATGTAATTAGATTTTTTTGTATTATTATAAGTAAAATATCATACTTGTTGATTTTGTTAAAGATACAATGAACTACATTTGTAATTACTAGAACATATTAATTGTAATTTTCCTAATGCTTAGGATATTTAATGAATTTTGATATCTTTGACATGCTTTGTTTTCTTTTCCACGTTTCATACTCTAATTGATGTGATAAAATCTTCAAGATACCATTTTTAATATCAATTTTACAGTAGTTTCAAAAGATATTCTTGATATTGTGCCTATAAATATTTGACTTTTGTATTTAGAATGATAACATTCATAGATAACATACCCAATTATATTTTGATATCAGAAAAAAAAACTGAGACAACCCAACTTCTGTGTATCGCTCTTGTTATAAGACTATTCTTCATCAATGGAAAATTTAATACATATACCACCAAGATGAATACTTCATCTTTTGCAGAGGATTATTTTAATTACATCTGATTACATTTTGACAGTTTTCATAATGATCTAATAAATAAATTAAATAAGTATACATTTTATCGATTCCAAAAGAGCTTCCTCCTGCTTAGCAGATACCACCTGCAAACCTGAAGTGAAACTCACAGTAACTATGTTATCATCAATGTCATGTTTTGCAGACAACACAGCTGGAATTGAAACCCGGAGAAATGGATACAGCCGCAGGCAGCAAGAGTTATACTTACTTCCTGTAGTAATAGAAGACAGCAGTTACCCGGTCCAGAGCAGCACGAACACAATGACTATTCGTGTTTGCAGATGTGACTCTGATGGGACCATCCTGTCTTGTAATGTGGAAGCAATTTTTCTACCTGTGGGACTCAGCACCGGAGCTCTGATTGCAATACTACTGTGCATTGTTATACTCTTAGGTTGGTTTTCATATTAGTCATGCTTTCTGAATCTCTAGCTATCTCTTTATTCTATCCTCTCTCTAATGTCTATAAATTTTTGTTTACTGAGCTGGTTTGAAAAATCACTGGCTACTTAAAATATTTTTTTTTTATTAAATATATTTTCTGTTTGTTATTTCCCATATATCCTCAATAATACCTTTAAATCATAAGGAATATTAATGTTGAAAATTTGACTCCTTTTCTACCATGGCATTCTCTGTGATAATTATTTATTTAAAACCATTTCGAAGTTTCACTAAGCCATGTGCATGAGCATAAACTGGGTTTATAATTTTTAACCTTCTAAAATATATGTCACTCATAAAAAGCACACTAATTATTCCTAATAATCTTGGGCTTAGAGTATAATTACATTAATATTATAAATATTGCTGTATTTACTAATACAATCCTTAATTATTCAGAATTGTACTCCCAATGAGCTCTATTCAATAATCTGTATCAAAAACTAAAATATAACCTTTCTCAACTTTGCAAACTATTGTCATTGCCTAATAAAACTTATGCTATAATTTATAAATATCCCAGATGCATAATACTTTGTAATTTCAATCTCAACAAAGAAATAATGAAAACAGAGGTTCTAAGAAAGAAGTAGAGGATGTGACCCCCAAATATGTTTACATTCCGCTTACACTTCCATCTTAAAAAATCTTCAACCCATTCAACCCATTCCATATCCCAAAACAAATCTGTAAAAATTTCCTCTCTAACAGAGAATTGCTGACTGTCGTATCCAGAAGTATTGCTAGGAGAAGGTTTGAAATAAGCATAGAGTTTGTATCACTGTGTCAGAATAAATACATCTCTACTAAAACCTTTTTGCCCTGTCATTCATTTTGTTCAGATTTTCTGTCTACTGATTACTTCAGTGAGAGAAAGTATCTATTTTTATGGTCACTCTTTAAAACCAAAGGAAACAGATGTAAACCTGGGCATTGAGTTTAAGCAAGCATAGTCTTCATTTAAAACATTCTAAAAAAAAGGGGGCGGGGGGAACAGTAGCTTTTTTTTCTCTCTAGAATAGAATTAGTAGTAAGCAGTAGCTAACACTTTATGGAGCATGCTCCATGAGTCTGACACTCGTGGGAACATAGCGATTTCTAGACCAGTTTGGAGAGTATAGATATTAATTCTGTGTGGGTTGCTTGGTTACATGAACAAAGCATTCTTCATATCTTCATAATACATGACAATATTCATCGAGCATATGTTTTTACTGATGTTACAAACTTCATACTGTATATATCAAATATAATTCTCACATCAGAAATTATCCATGCTTAATTATTATTTGACTTCAATTAAAATGTACCTGTTCTCCTCTATGATCAGGTAGCTAATTGAATCTGAGAGTACTTATGTATCTTCATAATATGGCTCAAAATATTCTAGGTGTTCTCCTTTGACTCATGTGTCCCCCATGAAATAAGCAAGAAAATTGTTACCTCATCAGTATCATACAATGACATTTACAGTGTGATTATCTCCCAGAATTCTTCCTGAATATCCATAGTTCTTTGTACTATTCTTGATACTATTAACCTCCTTGTTTATAAAAAAGAATCATTTCATTTGCATCCATTGTCTTATATAAGATACTGTTTTAAAATACAGCAAGAAAATATTCTTTGAATGTATAGCCACATACTTTTTAGTACACCATTTCCATGTCCTTTCATGGAATGAGAATAAACAATAGAAATCTGTAGAGCTGGTATTTTTTATAGATAGCCTTCCACCATATATTATGGAAGTCTGTCTTTCTACTCTTGCACTGCTAAAGCTTTTTGACACTTAGGGATGCTCTTTATGGTTTTCAGTGTATCACCCAATCCCTGGGTTATCAACAACAGTGAAATTACAGTGGGTATCTTATATGCCAAAGGAAAAATGCACAGTCCTAAATGTCATTCATGGATTATTTTATAGAAGCAACATCTAAGGCTCCTGTTTCTTTCTTAATAGGCTCAACTTTTTTTAAAATATGGAAAGAGAGGGAATAAATACATGATCACTTCTCATCAAGTTTTCTCTACTCTCTCATTTAATCTTGGCTCTGGAAAAACAAATACACTTTGCTTTTATCTTATTGGGACTATTTTGGAAGGATGCGAGATTGTTGCCCAAACCTGTACATTTATTACATTATGTCTATCTGTGCCTGCTGATGTTTTAAATAATAAACACCATCAACTTAATGGCAAACATTCAGTCTTTAGAAATAAAAGGATACGGTAATAATTGATGTGAGTAGGTACATCAAAGTATATTCTCAAGAAGTCAGATTGAATACCATATAGCTTCTCTATAATATTATTAAGCATTCCACTACTCAGAACTGAAACAATAAGAGGTATTAATTTCCAAAATTTATTGTTTTGTTTTCTTTCCTCTTTCCTTCCTCTTACTCCATCTCTCTCTCTAATTCCCTTTCTTTCTTATATAGTGTGTTTAATATTGATTCTTCACCAATTTTGAGTATTTCACTGAAATATTTTTAAGTAACAATATTGTAGTTGGTGATTTATCCATCACTAATATTTACATGATCCTTTATAGTTCATTATCTATCTATGTATATCACCTCTTTCAAATATCTATACAGTTAGAAGGGACATTTTCTCTTCTTACCATTTTATTGGTCTAATATTTTCTTTGAGTCCAAAATACTAAAATACAGATAGAAAAAATATTTGATATTATTAATGACTTTTCTGTGATTTCCTGATAGTTAGCATTTCAATGTGAATTTGGCGTTAGAAAATTCATAAGCATATGCATAACCTTATTGGCTATAGTATTATACCTATGAATATATTATGAGGTCAGTAAAGAAATGCAGCTCTCCTGTTCCATGTTAGCATTTATAGAGATAAAATGATGTAGGTGCTTCCATTTAACAGGTTGTTATTTTTGTGTTCTTCTAGCTATAGTTGTGCTGTATGTGGCATTGAGAAGGCAGAGGAAGAAAGACACCTTGATGACGTCTAAGGAAGACATCAGAGACAATGTCATCCATTACGATGATGAAGGAGGTGGGGAGGAAGACACCCAGGCTTTTGACATTGGGGCTCTGAGAAATCCTAAAGTGATCGAAGAGAACAAAACTCGCAGGGATATAAAACCAGACTCCCTCTGTTTACCTCGTCAGAGACCACACGTGGAAGATAACACAGACATAAGGGATTTTATTCACCAAAGGCTACAGGAAAATGATGCCGACCCAGCTGCCCCACCATACGATTCCTTGGCCACTTACGCATATGAGGGCAATGGGTCAGTGGCAGAGTCACTCAGCTCCATAGACTCTCTCACCACGGAAGCCGACCAGGACTATGATTATCTCACAGACTGGGGGCCCCGCTTTAAAGTCTTGGCAGATATGTTTGGAGAAGAAGAGAGTCACAATCCTGATAATGTCACCTAGGGGAGAAGAAAAGGTTGATGATACACATGTAGAGAAGAAAAAATTAACAAAAGTAACAGAAATAACACACACACACACACACACACAGACATACACACACACACACACACACACACACACACACACACACACACACACACACACATACACACACAGGCACACATGCACACACGAGGCTCCCGGGTTCTACAAGACGAGATTCCTTTCATTTTCCAGTTTCTAGCCATTTGTTCTATTTATCATATTGTCATTTTGGGTTATTCTGCTGACACAAGATAAATCCTGTAATATGTACTTGCTTTGTTTTGTTCTGTTATTTCAGGAACACACTGAGCCAAGCTCAGGCCTATTAAATACAGTTCACTGACATGACAACCGAGAATGAAGATCGCTCTGTGGCATCACGGTGGAAGAGTGTGAGATTTTTCTTAATTCCACTAAAGTGCCTATTGAAACTCTTATCATTTAAAGTGGTGTACACAACACTCTGCTGTGATGGCTTGGCAGGATTCCGAGATAAAGAGGAACGAAGCAGACAGTGTCTCTGTGTCAAGGAGCAATTGTGACCCGCTGACTCTTATTCCTCTCAAGAACAAAGAATAATACTTCCCAAACTCCATCTTTTTAGAAGAGAAGCTTTTTCTTTTGTGAATTGTAAACCGAAAAGTATTTGTTTTTCCTAGTCTTTCAGAAACTGGAATAAATGAGACATTATGAAATTCAATATGTAAGTCCTGAATTCTAAAAGCAATGCTTAAATCATAATTTAGTTCATGTAAAAAATGTTAATTAAGCTGTTTGCTTTTCCAAAAACTAAAATTATATACGGGAAATAAAAAGGATCCCTCTTTATAAAGAGACACATCAGGGCTCAAATTCCAGCTTCAAATAAACATTGGTTTGTTTAATTCTATGCCGGTATGTGGAAACTGGTTTTAAAAAGTCAACAAATCATTTAAGCTTTCCGTCAAAGAAAAAGTTTCACATGTGTTTCTACTGAAATTTCTGAAAGGAAAATATACAACTAATTTAAACATGAGAAAAACTCAACATTCAGATTCTTAGCGTTTCTGTCAGTGATACTTTGATGAATGATGCAAACGAAATACATATCAAATAGTGTGATTTATAACAAGTATGAACATTTATTCTGTACTACTGAACAAATAAAGTCAGGGACTTCAGAAAATAAAACCAATGACTAAATCCCAAAGGGAGCAAAATGGATACCAGGCAGCTGATTCACTTGTTCTAGTGAAGCTGATTTTTAACTTTGTCAACTCAGTTATTATTGGCTCAGAATCACCTCTTCACTATCTCATTTACCAAAATACTAATGGAAATTACTCATCCTTATTCTTTGTATAGAACTTTTCCAGTTTGTGCAAATGTCTGAGAAATGGTAGAATTTATGACTACATTAGTGAGCATGGCTCCAATCAATTCAACATGGGTTATATATTATTCAGAAATTCACAAGATACGACAAGTGCAAACTGACCATAAAGTAACAACTATTCTTAACAATGGTATTTGTAACAACTAACTTCTACCTATAACATATGTAGGGAAAAATTAAAGTTACTTCAAGAGCCATGTATAAGATATGGCTAGTATCTAATTTTGTTTTAAAATACCAGTGAACATAATTATCATTTGTGGGGATATGAAGATGAAAGTTCACACTGTGGAATCTTAGAAATTAAATAATGGACAAATTAATTTCAGTATATTCTCTAATTCATATTTTTAATTTTTCATGGTGTAGGGATATGCCCATTTGTTTCTCTGTTTACCACATCTTTAGACTCACTTTATTCCTTTTGCAATGGGATTTAATTTTTTTCAGTCAGCATACTATGTAATAAATAAATATTTTCAGTATTTCACAATTGAGAAAACTAACTGTCTTATAGGTCTTATAATTACATTACCACACTAGAGAAGAAAAAACTAATGTAACTTACTTCTTATTTCTCTATGTATGGAGATTGTCTTCTTGAAGAAGGTTAATATGCAAGACCACATCCTATTAATACATGATTCTTATTAAAGCTTATTGCATTTAGTATTTTCATAGAAAATATAACTGCCTTTTCATAAATTTGCTGAGCAGAAGCCATGATGACATGAAGATCTGAGAGACAGATTGTTTTAAACCACATGACTAAGAAGATATGAAAACATGCCATATGTAGCTCTTGGTTTTCATCACACATGAAGCTCCAAACATCTTTGTCATTTCCTGCATTACTTCATTAGCTTTCTAGGCTGATCCTAACAAGTTATCACAAAGAAAGTGTCTTTAAACAATAAAGTTTATTTTTTCAGATCTGACAGAAGATTTCCTCTCAGCATCTTCTCCTGTTCTTGGAGTAATCCTTTTCTCTTTTCTTTTCTTTTCTTTTCTTTCTTCTCTTCTCTTTTCCTTTCTTTCCACTGTGGTCTGATCTTTGTGCTTGTTTTTTTTTTCTCTTTTAATAAGGGCAACTTTCTTATTAGAACAGCAGCATCTACCCACAGGACCTCTTTTTACCTTGTTAACCTTCTTAAAGGCCTTATCATCATCTTATCACAGTCTAAGGAATTTGGGTTGATACTTCAGTATATGGATCCATCCAATCGCAATCTGAAGTTATTAACAATAATTACTTTCTAAATAGCATTCAATTTACAACAACCAGTGGATGGAACATAAAAATCAGCTTAGAATTAATGATCAAAGTAATATATGATGAGGAAAAGAGATCCCTTGGTGCTTACAATTAGAGGGATTACGCTATCTTTTAGATTAATGAAAGTACTAAGCCTAATATTTCAATATCTGTAATACCTTGGGATGTTTTTTATTCATGCAAATAGGTTTTGACTTTCATTCAAGCATTAAGCAATATAAAATGTTAAAATTTTATATGAATGGTTTTAGCTATAAACAATTAAAACACAATTTTGTTATTGGCTTGCATGTCTACCTTTATAGATTTACATATGTACATATATAAAACGTATGTGTTGCCTTCAGTGCTATTCAAAGATGTGTACAATCAACATATAAAAGTGAAGCAGTGTTATTGATGTAATAGAAACCAATCTGCGTGCTTTGAACCATATTCACTCTATAGACTCAAAATGTTCTATGGATCAAATTCCTTGGCCTCCAGTGTTTTATTCTTTTTAGTAAAACTAATTTGCTATATTTAGTGTCATGTACAATTAATCTGAAGTTTTCTTATCCTTAAATTATAGTAATGACTGTATGAAACATAGCCAATAATTTACCTACAGACTAAGATAATTTGAAGACTCATGGATATTTGAAACCATTTACATGAAAATAATTTGGATCATATAGGGACTTGACTGATCAGTCATCAAAATTCATTAGTTCTAATTCAGAGAACCATACAATTATTCTTTATGGATATATATGAAAACTATTCAGTGAAATCAAAATGTAGAAGAATGTACAAGAGGAGAGAAAAATATCATATCCTAATGATAACCCAGATATTGAGGAAGGGATATTCTCTTTCCTTAAAAATCATGCAAAAATGTCAGTACCATTAGGAAATCTGAGGTTGTTATGTGATACCATGATAGAGTAGGAGATTTACACAAGCCCTGGGTTCCACTCTAAGAACCACAAATGCAGTGAAAAAAGAAAAATGATAACAACATCAATAATCATAACTTAAAAACAAATGTAAATATGAAAACATTGTATTTTAGTGGATCCCTGATTAAGTGCATTCCTAAAAACGGTGGTGGTTTAACTTAGTGTTATGTTACTAGTCAAAAGACTGATTATGAAAGAGGATTGGCTTACATAAGGTCCTTTGCTTAATAACTTTCCCGTTGTCCTCTAAAAAAGTGGTAGTTTGGTTAGCTCTCTAAAACTTATTTGGATCCATTATTTCCTTGTGTTAAAAAGTGGTTTGGGGGGAGGAGAAATTGCTCAATATAAAGAGAACTTGCTGCTCTTCAGGAGGACCTGGGTTCAGTTCCCAGCAGTGTCTTGGGATGCTACATGACTGTCAACTAACTTCCTTACCCAGAAAATTTGATACTCACTTCTGGAATTAAATATACCTGCATACACACATGCAGTTACCTGTAAAGGAATACACGCATATGCACATGATTAAAATAAAACACATTTATTTGGAAAGGCTATTTTGTCTCATATTCTATCATCAGCTCACTAGGTGAAACAGAAGGATGCATGTACCCATTCTAGATCAAATAAGATACGGTGTTTTGTATGAGGCTATTCATCATTTTCCTTATCTCAGTGTTAAGAACTTTCACTTTAAGTCTCTATACATACGTTGTCATTCTCATGACTAAATATTTTCTGCTCCTTTTAGTATGGCGCTTTGGAACCTGTGGTTCTGTTAAATTTCCCTTTGGTCACTCTGGTGGAATCTTAATGTTTACTTTGTTGTAATTTTAATACTTGGTTTTTGTATATTCTTTGTTTAATAGTAAATTGTACTATCTTTTGAATTTTACTTTCCACTACATGTTTTATCCTATTTTGTGATGTTCATCTCATTTATTTCTACTAGTTGTAACCATCGTATTCACAGGGATTTTCTGTTTAATTACCAGGGTATTTGTTATGGTTCTGATTTTGCTTTTTCCATTTTACAGCTAATAATGTGTAAGTTTTATCTTGAGTTTCTTATTATTTTAATTATAGCTGTTTAAAAATTACATATTCATTTTTCTCCCTAAGTTGGATGCAAAGTCACAGTGTAGGGGAGGAAATCTTATTATCTTAGGCATTCTTTTAAACATACTCCCTTCAGCCTCTCTCATTCCTCATTTCAATTTTCTCTTTACTTGAAATAAGATTCTGACATATTTTAAGTCATGTGACAAGATCCGCTTTTGGACCAGAGGCTTCACTGTTCTCCAATAGGAAAACCCACTACTGAGTTCCACCCACAATCTCATCACTGAACCATTAACCTTCAACTCATATACCCCAAATGCTGACTGCTACATGGACTATGTGACATCTGGTTTGGTGTAGACATAAAAACATCAATAAAGATACATCCATCTACATTTATTATGAAAACAGTATAAAGAAACGATTTACAAAAAAAATTCCCTTATCGTGCAAATAGTTATCATTGTAATATTTTTCAGTATAGAAGGACACACAAATATAAACAAAATCTGTAAAATATATTCTGACAAGTTTATCCGTTATATCCACTGTAACAAACAAACACATCAAACAAATTTTTCCTGTTCATTTATGTATACATAATACATATACAAATGAATGTGTGTAAATGATTTTTCTAATTAGTATTATGAAATGCCACTGAATTTCTTCACTGAATTTCTCATAATTTCTAGTGATGCGTATTTTTCAGCAATCAATCTAATTGGCAAATTTATTAAAAGTTTTTTTTTACCTAGGCATTTAATTTATTCATATTTGTGTAGTTTTATGAAAATTGAAGAAATATGATGCAAGCAAACCCAAACAACTTGAGTAAGACTGAGAAATAATAAATAAGGGATTAAAACCCTTTGATTGTGAAGACCTGAATAAATCTAATGTCAATATCCATTATGGGACTCTTCCCATGATTATCCTCCAACTTTCAGGCTAGTGTTTATTATATTGTTCTTACAAATGAAGTTAACAATGGTCCCTCGCAATTCAGGGTCATATTATAGTTCATCATTAAACTTCTTTACTAAGAAAAATAACCCACACGTCACTGGTTCTGTTGTTGATATCTTACACAGTATTCAAAGTGTGGAGTACATAGTACAGGAAAAAATGTATTTCTGTATTACTGACAGTCTGTATATTAGAAAGAATATCACAAAGCATCTTTTCATTCATCAGTACCAACAACCTAACTCTGGGTTTAACTTTGCAAACAATCCTAACTCACTTATTTTTATTTCCTATTTCCAGCCTCCCATAAGTCCAGATTTATCACAGCCCTCACCTTCCCTTTATCTGCAATTTCTAAAATCAATTTTCCTATCTTGTATTTTCCCCAGTTGGTCATCACTAATGAAAGCATCAGTCATGGCTGAAAAACAGCATATATTATTACCAAAGTGATCTAAGAGAATAATTACTCTTCCTTAGCTGCTACCTCCATTTATTGAAGTGATACTCATTGTGGGATACAATGCCTAAATGATTCTAAATGTGAAATGGTTACAGTACCTTGATAAGACGAATGTGGCTAGATCTGTTTTGTGCATGAGTAAATACAGCTTTGTCTTATTAGGTAGTCCGGACAGTAAGACATAATTATCAAGTGGCAGAGTTGGAATTCTAGCAGAGTTCTGAAGGGCACACTGCACACTCCCACCTCATTCATTCATAACTGCCATACAAACTGAAGTCCATTTCTTTTGAAGTTCACTAGTAACTCCATAATTGAAAACCTCAGTGATCCTTGCTTTCATCTGCCTGCGATTCATATTGAGTTCGGCACAAGATCACCTCTCATCTTCCAACTCCTGCTTCCATTTCCAGGTTCACTTGCTTTTTTTCTTCCATCTCTGAGACTTCTGTACCTACACATCACCAATATAAACCCCACATTAGAGTTGTCATTATGTTTTTATTTCTTTATCATCAACATTTATTAATCTCTATTGTAATAAATTTCCCCAAAATCTTAATCAATGCTATTGAGAAAAAAATCTTTTTCTATTTTTAATGAAAATAAGTTTTTCTCATATAATATATTTTGATAAAGGTTTTCCCTCCATCGACTCCTCCTAGTTTCTCCATATCTCCCATCCCATCCAAGTTAACTTCATTTCAGTCTCTCATTAGAAAATAACAGGCTGCCAGGTGGTGGTGGCACACGCCTTTAATCCCAGCACTCGGGAAGCAGAGGCAGGCAGATCTCTGTGAGTTCGAGGCCAGCCTGGGCTACAGAGCGAGATCCAGGAAAGCTGCAGAGCTACACAGAGAAACCAAAAAAAACCAAAAAACAAAAAACAAAAAAAACCCAAAAAAACCAGGCTGTTAATGGATAATAAGAAAACAAGACAAAATATGATAAAACAATACCTAACACATCAGAGTTGGATAAGACCAAAAAAAAAAAAAAAAAAAAAAAACACATAAGGAAAAGTGCCCAAGAGAGGAGATAAGAATCAGAGACCCTCTAGTTTGCACACTCAATAACCCCATAAAAAACAGTAAGCAATTATATATAATCAGAGAAGCTGGTGCAGACCCAGGCAAGCCCTGTGCATGTTGCCTTAGCCTCTGTGAGATCATGTGAGCCTTGACCATGTAGATTTAGAGGACCTTGTTTTCTTGGTATCCTTTATCCCCCTGGCTCTTGCACTCTTTCTATACCCTCTTCCACAGGATTCTGTGAATCTTGATGAAAGGGATTTGATGAAGACTTCACATTCAGGGCTGAGTGTTCCAAGGTTTCTCATGCTCAGCATAATGTCTGGCTGTGGGTCCCTACATTTGCTCCCATTTGATGCAGGAGGAAGCTTCTCTGTTGATTGATGGAGAAGATAGTAGAATGTCATTAGGAGTCATTTTATTACAACATTTTTAAGAAAGTAGTATTTGGTTTTACCCTAGGTCTCTGGCCTGTGTAGTCTCTAGTTTGTGGTCTCCACAGCAGTATTGGGCCTTAAGTCTAATCAGACATTGACTGGTTACTTTCAAAAGTTTTGTGCACCATTGCCCTGGCATATTTTGCATGGAGAACAACATTGTAGACCAAAAGTATTCTGTCTGAGAGAATGTTTATATTTCTCTTTTGGTTGTCTGTGGAGGACCTTCCTGTACCAAGAAACCAGAATGTAGAAGTGAAGGCACTGTGTAGGCACTGGCTTGACTTCCTCCATGTTCAATGAGTTGTGTTGGTTTATTCTCCAGTAATGGGGCCTACAGGTCAGTTTGTAGAGAGCCATGTATATAGTCTTGTCAATAGTCTGCATTGTTTAGAGATTTCCATGGGACTCTTTTGGCCAAAAACTCAATTAAATGCAACCCATTTCTGGTAACAAAAGCTTCATTTGGTGACAAGGGATGGCCAGTTGGAACTCTATTTCCTCCATCATTTGGAGATTCCATTTGGAATGCCTTCATACATGTATGTATTTAAGGAAGCGTCTATTGCATCAGATTTCAATCCCTCAAATGGCCCTTAATTTAGCTGTCCCTTTATTTCCTCCCTCATCTGCTGCTTGTAGTCAGATAGTTTCTCCAGCCCAGTCCAGCCCCGTAGTCTTCCAGCTGCTTATAAAATAGTCACACAGAGGTTTAATATTATTTACAAACTGTGGAATCTATGGCAGGCTTCTCACTACCTAGCAATTATATCTTAAATTAACCCATTTCTATTAATCTATGTTTTGCCACATTCTTTGGCTTTACCTGTGTCCCATTACGTGACACTCCTTGGGCGGCTGGCTTGGTCTCTCAAGAATCCGCCTTTTTCTTTCCTGTCTCTCTCCTTTCCTGCCTGCCTCTAAGCTGCCTTGCCATAGGCCAAAGCAAATTATTTATTAACCAATGGGGACAACCTATATTCATAGCATACAGAAAGATACCCTCCCCAGCAGCCTCTCCTCACTCCCTCCCTACTTGATCTTCCTGCTCCATCCCCCACATCCATCCCTAGCTATCTGTTCTTTTACCCTTTCCTAGGAAGATCCACCTGTCTGCCCTTAGTCCCTTACTCTATGCCTAACTTCTGTGGTTATATGAATTATAGCTTGGTTATCATTGATTTAAAAGCTAATGCCCACATGTAAGTGAATACATACCATATTTGTTTTCCTGAGTCTGGGCAACCTCTCAAAGGATGATTTTTTTTTTCATACATTTACTTGCAATTTTACTTTTTAATGGCTAGTTCTTAAATTCATAAGTACATTTATTTTTATGTAAGCTAATTACACCACAAGAAATATGTGAAAATATATTTATATAAGATGCATTGCTTGATTTCAAATTCATTTCATTTAGTTCTCTCTGATCCTCTTTCAAATTTAGCATTTCTGTTTTTGTTTGTGCTCTGAACTGCTTCCTCCAATCCCCTTCACTGCCTTTTTGTTCTTCCCCCTTCTCTTCCTTCCTCCTCTTCCTCCAATTCATTCTCTTTTTTACTTTCTTCAGTTCCTTCCTCTTCCTCCTCCCCATCATCAACAATCCTCCTTTTTCATCTTCCTTCTGCACATACTCCTTGTTAAACTATTATACTTCCACTAAGTTGTTCAGAATTACTATTTTGAGTATTGTTGTTGACTGTCTTACTGCAATGTTGTCTATTCCTCAAATAATTTTATTACCAATGTGATACAGAAGATACCTATATATAGACCTCAAACTCCCAAGTGATGTATTATGTCATGACACATTTTGTAATTACTGAACTAGCATAACATGAATGCATTTGAACTAAATTCATGATTATTTTGATTATCTTATTTTTACCTAATGTGCCTTTACTCTTCCAAGATCCCATCCAAAATAGGTACACATGCAGCTCACTCAGATTTCCTCAGCTCATTCAGATTTCCTCAGCTTTCTCAAGGATGTCATCATTTCTTCGCTCTTTTGTTTTTATATTCTTGACAGACTTGTAAAACAGATTAGCTCTTTTGTTGCATGTCCTTCACATTGTGTTTCTGTGAATTTTTTCTCATGATTTTTTCTGACAATACCTGCATTGGAAAGAAAATCAGAGATAAGGTGCCATACACACTTAATCAAATCAGAGGTACCTTAGCCAAATGACTTGTCACCTTGACCTCTGCCTGAAAAATATTGACAAATGTGTTACTGTAAGTTAAATATTTCCCCCAAATTTACTGCAGTATTTGAAATAAAATCTTTCTCTACTGTCCATACTCATGAAGTACAGAGTGATTTTTCTTATCTTAAGGGAAGATAATCTGCAAAACACACTGGGATTATCTGTGAGAGAGGTATCTATTCTGCATTAATGTTTGATTATTTATTTATGCGGCTGTGGACTCATACATTTGGATTATAATACAATTTTACACTGTGTGTGTGTTTGTGTGCATGTTTGCACACGTATGTTTGCTTATATACCTTTGTGCAAATACAGAGACTAGAAGTCATCTCTGCGTATCTCCCTTCACTGTGCTCAATCTCATGTTTTGTGATGTTAGTTAACCTGAATTCATCAACTTCCACAGGCTGGCTAACACTGATCTCCAGGAATTGGATTGTACCCATCTTCACTGTGCTGGGATTACAAGGATATTACCGGGCAAGCACCTTGCCCACTGAGCCACCTCTCCAGTCTCTAAGTTTTCTTTATTCATAAAGCTATTTTTTTGAGTTTTAATGGAACTTCATACAACCTTACTACAATTTGAGAGGTTTGGTTTTTAATGTATTTTTAATTATATCTTGTACTCTGCTACTGTGTTCTCTGCTCTCACCCATATTTTTTTCTGCAGTTATTGTATTCTGTCATTGTCCCAAAAGCCTATATTTCTTCTTGTTGGCAACAAATATCTGAATATTTAAGTGTTCCTCTTGGTGTTGGGGTGTTTTGGTACCTCTCTGATGACAGACAATATATTAATATTTATGTATATCTCTGTGGCTTACATGACTTTTCACTCCAATACACAGAAACTTAGCTTCTACCATCTCCTATTGAATTAGGTAATTGTTCAGTTCCAGGCTATAGATACATATTTAGGAATTGTTAAACTATAGCCTTATGCAAAGTGAATATATCAGTGTTTTGGCTAGTCACAGACTGTGCTCATCCCAGTGTTACTTGCTGTAACTATCTTACTGATGTGATTTCATCAATTTATTTTAACACTGAGATTACTTTGGTCATTATTTATTCAATGCTCTCTTAAGGACATTTTAGTTTCTGTGTAATAAGGCTACTGCTCATATTGAGAGATTTCAGAAATCTCAACAAATGTATAGTATTGTTAAACCAAAAATACATTTCCAGCAATATAATTTTACTTGTTCAAAAAGTCTCCTGCACTTTCCCACACTGTAGCACCTTCCCTGAACTGGAAAACATGGATTTATTTGCTATCTTCATATTTTCTCTTCTATGATATCATAAAACAGAATGATAGAGTGTGGAGTTTTTAGAGGTGGCTCTTCCACTGAGCAATATGAATTTCAGACTCATACATGATTTCATGAGTGTGATAATACATTAAGTTTTATGGAATTACATTTCATTGTGTGGATTTTTCATAGTTTATCCCTTGAATGAATGGTGTGTTGGTTGCTTCAAGATTTTGTTTATTATGAGTAATAAAACATCTATCATTGTTCATGCACAGGTCTTTGTGTCAGCATGCTTTTAAATCATGAAGGCAAATACTGAGGAGCCCGATGGCAGGATATTTACAACACAAAGAAGTCACTGCCAAAATGTCTGAAAGAGCAACTGTGCAATGTTTTACTTCCCCACTATCGAGAGTTGTCTTAACAGTACTGATATTGCCAGCTTGCTTTTTGATTGCGCTGCTCTCATAGGAATTGAACAGTATGTTGCTTATGTTTAATATTTTATTTCTTATGACTAATAATGTTCAGAACACTTTTATATGATCATATACCTTAGCATTTTATATCTGCTTTTTTTAGATATCTATCTCTTCTGTCTATATGTATTAATCATTTTATTTTTATTTCTTTACTTATTCTTTATTTTTAAAGGTTGTGTGTTTTAGTGAAAGTCCTTGATTAGATACAGGTTTAGAATAAACTTCTACCAGTTTATAGCTTTTTTACTTGCTAAAAAGATACTTTTCATTTTCATTTTAATAAAACAAAATATTTATCTTTTATTGTCATACTTCTTGATTCTTAGATCAAATCCACTATCAATTAATAAGTTTGCCTTCTAAGCATTTCTTTTTGTTTTCATTTTTATACATGTGTCTCTGCATATATGTAAGTCCACTAACACACCAGGTTGGTAGACATCAGATGATGGTATCAGATCATCAATAGTTACAGGTACATGTGTTTGTGAGCCACCTGATGTTGGTGCTGGAAACCAAACTTGGCTTCTCCACAGGAATATCAAATACTCTTAATAGCTAATTCATCTAAACAGCCCCATAATTTTTTATTTTAATTTTTGCTTTTGATGTTTTTCCATTAAATTTATTTTAGGTATGGGTATGTGGTGATTGGTTGGGAGTCATGCACATTTCCATCTGCTAGTTAAAACACATTTATTTTTCTAATAAATCATTTGAAATTTACTCTTGAACACTTTACTGGAGGAATAGCTGGCAGTATTCACATGGATTTCTTTCTGCCCACTTTTCAAGTCCATTGATGTCTATGTTTATTCCTTTGCCCTTCAATGTCTCACAAGTTATTCAGTTTTGAGTTCGTACAAGTGTTGGAACCAATTTATGAACTTCTTACATTTTCATCTGTATTGCATTGGATTCATAAATATAGTAAACGTAATATTTCAACAATATTGAATCATTGAGCTCATAACTACAGACAACTAAATTAATGTTACAGTCATTTTTAGTAATTTAGCAGTATTCTTTGTATGAATATTGTTCATAATTTAATAATTTTACTTTTAATTTGGTGTACATCATAAATGCTTCATTTTATTCAAATTATTATAGTGATATATAGCTAAATGATTTTAATTTTAAACAACATTGCATCTTCCAATGTTACTATGCTTGCTTACTTTTTTTTTATTTTTTTTATTTCGCAATACAGTTCAGTTCTACATATCAGCCACAGATTCCCCTGTTCTCCCCGCTCCTGGCCCCCTCACCTTCCCCCCAGCCCACCCCCCACTCCCACCTCCTCCAGGGCAAAGCCTCCACAGAGGACTGAGATCAACCTGGTAGACTCAGTCCAGACAGGTCCAGTGCCCTTCTCCCAGGCCAAGCCAAGCGACCCTGCATAGGCCCCAGGTTTCAAACAGCCAACTAGGAAATCTGTAGGCCATTTAAGTTCTATGGCAACATTGCTTTCATATTAAACTGCAGACATTTCCTTCTTTTGTAGTCTATATATTCCTCTTTTTCTTTATTTAGGCAAAATTTCAGTATGTTGTTAGCTATATGAAAAGCAGTTTGAGATAATCTTTACATAATATATATTAACAACCCAGCTAATTCAGTATAGGTACATGAAATTTTAAAAAGAAATATTACATTTTTATTTATTCTGAAATCAATTTTACAATAGTACATCATAGTTCATATTTAAGGCTTTGTTATAACCACAGTGCTAATATTAGGGCATGTTACTTTTATTGATGAAAGCTCATTGATTACAGATTTAATTAAATTAATAGGTATCAGAGTATCTGTGTGTCCTGTGTGGATTTTTTAGTTTAAGTCTTACGAGAGAAAGGATCCACAATGTGTAAATCATCTAGTGTTTGGACAGACTTTCTCATCATACCCACTCTTTATCTTCTGACTGTCCTTCAGATCCTTTCAGTTCCTCTTACGTTCAGTTCCTCTGGTCTTCCTCTGTGTCAGCTGCCGCCTTTTCCTGATTAGTGTTGCGAGAATTTTCCCAATTTTATTTGTATTTTCTATGAACTTGTGATTATTTTCATTCAGTCATCTCTTTTTTTTTTGGTTAATTTACTTATGTTTCAATGAATGGTTTCAGAAATATTCTTTGGTTCTATTTCTCTTTTTGATTTTCAGGTATAACCCCCAGTTTTATTACAGGACTTTAATCTTCTTTAGTGTTTGTACTAGTGCTAGGCACTTTCCAAAACTGAATTCACTGCATCCCTAAAAATGTGCAAAGATGCGTTTTCTCTATAATTTAGTTCAAAACACATTTCATGTGTTGAAAACTTTCTTTAATTGTGTGTTATTTTTTGAAAGCTTTTGACTAATTTATTAAACTTTGAGGAAATTTCCAGCTACTTTTCCACCGGTAATTTCTACTTTTAATTCCACTGTTAATTTAGAACATAAATTGTATTATTTATATTATTAGCATACATTTAAAACTCAGAATACAGTTTCTCCTGGTGACTCTCCAGGCCATGTCGAAAAGACAGTCCATAGTACTGATTTTGGATGGAGGACTTGATAAATATAGTCAGTTAAAGGTGACCCATAGTCACCATGTCTCTGCTGATTCTCTGCCTATCTATCTCTACTGTTTACAAAAAGAAGCCAAAATCTATACAAGAGTAGTGGAGATTTTCATTTTTGACTTTTTTTTTAATTTAACCTTATGTATGTACATGTAAAAATGAAGTCTTGATAAGTTAATACTTCTCTCATGCTTGATACATGCATTCTTCATCTGTGGAAATAGGTAGTGAAACCATCTTTATAGGAAATCAATAGTCACCATCTTGTTCTCTGATTATTGTTACTATTTTGCATATTTATACAAATACTTTTACCTCTCATTGTCTGTAAACTATTACTGTGTGCAGGTTTAAAATCCAAAATCCAAATCCAAATTCAAAATGTGTAAAGCACAAAATTCTCCAAAATTTCTCTTGATATTATGTGTATATATATTCTGCCCATCTCTCTGTCTCTCCTTCTCTCTGTCTCTCTGTCTCTCTGCCTCTCTCTCTCTCTCTCTCTCTCTGTCTCTCTGTCTCTCTCTCTCTCTCTCTCTGTCTCTCTGTCTCTCTCTGTCTCTCCTTCTCTCTGTCTCTCTGTCTCTCTCTGTCTCTCTCTCTCTCTCTCTCTCTGTCTCTCTCTCTCTCTGTCTCTCTCTCTCTCTCTGTCTCTCTGCCTCTCTGTTTCTGCCTCTCTGTCTCTCTCTCTCTCTCTCTCTCTGTCTCTCTGTCTCTCTCTGTCTCTGTCTCTCTCTCTCTCTGTCTCTCTCTCTCTCTGCCTCTCTGTCTCTCTCTGTC